AAAAAATCAACAAAGAACCGTCGCCTTTACCTTTTTTTACGGCGTTGGATCCAAGTGAAGGGGATGCAAACTTGAATAATGTCTCATTTTTTTAATTTTTAAGTGTGGTTAGTACCTCTTTCATAGTAGCCTGGGACCAGGCTCCTCATTGGGGGAAAAAAGGAAAAAAAATCGGGAAGCGAAGCATGCCGAGAGGTAGTCTCGACCTCACTTTGCTCGCCTATATTTTTCCTATTTGAATACCGTTTTTAGCCGTTTTCCCCCACCGCGAGCATGGTCCCAGGCCCCCACCCCCCTAATAGTCATACTTTCTCCATGTTTACAATCCGGGCAGACATTTCGATAAATACACCTGTAATGCAGCCTACACACTTTTTTGACGCAACATTTCACGTTAAGCAGACAAAAAATTCATGTTCTGATCCCGCGAGAAGGAAGTAGATGGCCCTCGGAAAAGATGAAAGAGAAGTAGGTACATACCCTTGGTGCATGTTGGTGCGTTTAGCGGGACGGAGATTGATGTATAAACAAAACGTTTTCCGGGTCAGGTCTTAGTTTTCCGGACACCCAATTTTGTACCGAAATGTCAGCTTGTAAATTAATATGTAGTAGCCAGTTTTATCCTTGTATGTTTGTTTGTTTGTTTTTTTTGAGCTAATTTCATACCCTTCTAAACTATGTTTATTCTGTACTGAAACGTTTGCCCTTCATTTGACAACTAAGACGATACAACAAGCGAAACAGTTGTAGACCTTACAACTAAGAAAGTTGTCGCCACAATGCTCATTCTTCTCCTGGCCATGTCAGTGTCCGCCGGCTGCGACTTCAGAGATATGGGCTGTTTACCATTTACAAAAAGTTAATTCCGGAAAATTCGATTGGAAAGTAAATGGGACACGACTTTTTCGGTCGCTTTATCGGAAAATTTCCGGGCGCAAAGGAACATTAAGATAGTCCTTTTAGTTTTTCGGACGGAACGTTTCAAACGGAACTGAACTCGTGGTCTTGTTTCTTCATAGCCATCTTTGATTCCAGTTTCAGGTTTTCGAGGCTGTTTTTCGGTAAATGGAAGTGATGTGTACACTATGTTCATTGATATGTTTGCTCCGAAATGGGCACGCGGGCCCCATAACTTAGCACGTTTTCCCTCCTGAGACCCTTGCATTACCCCTGGGTATTGAGCGTAGTATTCAAATGCTTTGCCAACATCAGGATCACTGATCAGATCGCTTTTCTATGCGTTCATGCCGCGAGAGGGCTTATATACTTGCGTTTTTTGTCCCCCCTCCCATTCTCCCCTCAGCGACGAAAAGCCGGTTATGCTGCAGTTCTTCGCATACGCGGAAATTATTTTCGCCCATATCTTAGTATTCCCCGCGTGTGCCATACCAATGAAAATTCTCCTACTATGGTAATGTAAATTTTATGCGATCATTCGGGTGGAAATTTGCGGTATATCGCTAAATATATGTATTTATCAAAGCTAAATAAACGTTGTGTTACCTTACCTTCAGTAAATTGTCGTCCTTTTGCCTCAGAAGTGGTATTTTGAGCGATTTTGAAGGATTTTGAGTTTGCTGTTTACTGTTCCACAAAATACCACTTCTGAGGCAAAAGCACGACAATTTACCGAAGGTAAGGTAACACAACGTTTAATTCTCATATATTTTCTTTAACAAAATCCTCTATAATATGGACTCTCTATAATACGCAGAACGGACACTAAATCTCGGCCCCAGAGAGTAAATTCATATAAACTTTTATTACGGACGCTGCGGTGATCAGGTGAATCCGCACAGGGTGAATCCCGTCTAATCTGGCTGGTGAGCTATGCAAGGTGATATAAGGTCCAGTCGCTGTATACCAAACAACAATTTGCGAAAGGTGTACAAAGAAACATAACCGACTTTTTGAAGGCTTCGATAACTACCGATAGCATAAAGATCTTTCCTATTACATTTTGTACTCTAGTTACTGTTTACTGCACTTGAAAAATAGCGAAAGACGCTTTCAGAATTGTGCTTTACGTTACGTTTTTACATGGAGCATTGCGCTGTGGCTCGTTTCGTGTTAAAATAGTAACGCCCGCACCTTGCTTGATTCAAGTGACGGGTAGAAATGCTTCATAAAACACAAAATTTTGCACCTTTTGATCCCAAATGATGATATAATGTAAGAAAAATGAGTAAAGATAACTTACCGTGTCCTGTTCCCTGTTTTTGTGGTGTTTTCAGTCGCTTGAAACTGACACCCCCAACTAATAAATAATATTAAAAACGACCTTAGCGACCTTAAGCATTTCTACCGATCACTTGAATTAAGCCGAGTGCGGGCGTTACGCAATACAGTAAATGTAATAATAATATAATAATTTATGAACTTATTGTGCGCAACTTAACATGAGAATGATCAGCTGTGCATTGCAACTGCATTACTTTACAAGAAACAAACAAAAGATAATGCATTTAAAAAAACTAACAATAAAAAGAATATATATGCATGCAAGTAAGAACTGAATATAAAATTGATCACCAATATACAGTTCTAGAAAGGTAAGTCTTAATATGCGCCTTAAAACTGTTGACATTAGTAATCGCACGAAGTTCTTTTGGAAGAGAGTTCCGGAGCGTTGGCGCTGCTACCATGAAAGTTCTATCACCTAACGTGATCGAACTGCCTGCTGGCATAGAAAGTAAAATAACTACCTGAAGATCTAAGGTTATATAAAGACGATTTAAATGTTAGTAACTCGCATAGATATTTAGGAGCAGGGCCGTGAGTTGCTTTGAACGTAATAAGCAGTATCTATTTTGTATCCGGGCTTTAACAGGAATCCAACACAGACCACGAAGAATGGGTAAGATGTGGCAAAACCTAGGCACATTACAAACTAGCCTGGCTGAGGCGTTCAAAACTCTCTGCAATTTGTGAAGCTGGTAGTTGGGCAGCCCATACAAATGACTGATGCAATAATCAACACGAGATGTAATAAATGCATGGACAAGCATGATACGTTGATTCTCGAGACAAATACTTGCGAATGCATGTATGGGATCACATGTTGCGCGTTACATCACGATGGTCCGCCTGTGGGTAAACAGTCATGACTTGTTGCCAAGCCAAAAGTACGATCTACGTGTTGATTACGGGGGGTGACAGCTCTAACAAGGGCTGTTTCGGGAGAAAAACAAATTTATTCCGGGAATCTGGAGATTTTTCCGGGAATCGGGAAACATGGGAAATTTTTCGGGAAATATGAGATATTTTCGGGACATTGAGCAAAGATTTTACACGTTATCAAATTATATATATGCAGTGATATGCACCCAGTGTATGCGCTGTATTCTATGTATTTTGACACTTGAAAATGGCTGAACTCCCCATGATATGAAAAGACCAATCAGCAACGTTTCCAACTAAAATAGCATGAAGTTCGAGTGCGATTGGCCACGTGTAATCCCCAGTGCAGTTTTTGTTAAGATAGGCGTTTTGAGGCGTACTACGCATCAGACTGATGGGATCAAAACAGACCAATAATAAATTTAGATGCTGGAAGATTCTTATTCCAACAAATATACTATTTATATGAAAATGTATATTACAGTGGAACCTACCTCATTATAACGAACATATTTTGCCAGTCCCTTGGCCATTCGTTATATCGAGGTTCTACTGTACTTAATTTTATTTATTTATTTTTCAAAAAGTGGGGCAGCCCCTTCCCCCTGCACGGGCCCTGCCCTAGCTTGGCTCAGGCTATATAATACCCCCAAAATAGAGTATGCTAGATCAGGCAACAACAAAAAAAAAGCACTAAAATTGCAGCCTTTACACAGTATTACAGTCCTTGGTTTGTTTAATGTAGTCACTGGTATGACTAAAAGGTAATGGATTTCTTTTTTGCACACTGTAAGTAAGACCAAAACTTGTCCTCCAGGTTATAAGCTGGGACCTCACATTTCTCTTGCGATCAACAAGTGTGCAGATCAATTGTTACAGTAGGGTGGACAGTGCCTATGTATATGGGAAGGGGCCATGAAGCTTCCTCATTTATAGGAAAAACATTAGTCTATCTCAGATTAAAAGATACAGCAAGGGTTTTTGAAGTAGCAAGACTGTGCTCCAAGATTTAAAAATGTGGTTGTTGGCCATATTCCATATTAACGGGTGACCGCATTAACGGTTTTTTTTATAAAGAAATGTATGGCCGTTTTGCCGGGCCGAAAAAAACTGGCCGTAATAACGAGGTGACCGTATTATCGAGGCGGCCGTAAGGCGGGGTTCTACTGTATAGTCTTATTTGTTGTTTTTTTTTTCCATTCGCAAACCATTTATGGACTATCAGCAACGATCAGGGTTAAACGTTTGTTATAAACTCTCGTCTCCCCAAGTCTCTAAGTGAATAATCTGGGCTAACAATCAATATTCTTGAAAAATAGAAAAAAGCGCCTTATAAACTTCTGTGGCGCCAACTATTCACAGCTCCTACCACACAAAAGGCCTAAGGGGTGTACTCCTTTGTATGGCCTATAAGGTCATATAGGGTATGTTTTTTGTCCTCTCTGTCCTAAACAAGGTGTACAATTTCGCGCCATTCTGTCCTAAACAGGATATACAAATTCATGCGAGTCTGTCCTAATTATAAACAGGGTATTCCTGCACCATTGATTTAATTGGCTTATGAAATTTGTTTGTATTCCAAATATACAAAAACGTGAATTTGCTCTATGGCAATTGCCAACAACTGGCTGTAAAACAACACGGCGTGCATTTTGTCCTTTGTCCTAAACAGACTATGTATCTTAGGAATTTTTTTGTCCTTAACAGGTTCATTGAAACCCTCAGCGGCTCACCTATACCCAAACGCATGTGCTTTCCTGTGCAATCTTTTCAGCATGAATTTAAAGTTATAAAACGGGCTTAAAAACGTGAAACGTCAACGCTATAACACAACAATTGCAATTTGAATTTTAAAATCGTTACTGATCTTTGAGAATACTCTACTTAACTGAAATTGTCTCTCCGTAGAGAGCTAAAATAAGCATAATAGCAAAGCCAAGCAGTATGCCAAAATTCTGAAGTGCAAAGGCCTTGATGTTTCGGCGAATGGAACGTTCTCCGATTTTAGCTGACATTTCACAAGCTTCCGGTAACTGCATTAAAACAAACAGGAAATAAATGTTAGAAGCGGATAAAGTTTGATAATTTATGATAATGATCCCAAAGCAGTGATAACGTAGCCTGCTAAACAGCTGTCTGTCATTGCTCGTCGCTGACAGGGATGTTTTGTGAGAGAAGCGTTTGCATTTTGTCCTCAAAAATTCTATGCTGATGGGATAAACCTGTCCAGAATCTGGTCAGGAGCTTTGATTTTACTCCTTCATGCCCAGATTTTATTTACGACCATTACCGACGTGGGAGAGAGGCTGTGCCCATTAGATGGAACTATTCTTGAAAACCTATATTTACAGGTTTTTTCCAGTTTCATGCAAGATAACTTTTATCACAAATAGAATTTGTATAGGCAATTCAAGGTACCTCTTAGTTAAAGGAATTTTTTCAAGTAATGAGGCAAGATATAATTAAATTGAATCCTAATAGCATGAAGGAAAAAGCATACTTAATGACGAAAACTAGACGGTGTTCTTCCTGTCTCGATTTTATGCTTGCTTTTATGCAGAATCTCTCATCAATTATTCCTCGGGAAGCAGTTAGTTTTGTTTTCCCTCGAGTCCTGATGTTTCCCTCGACTTCGTCTCGGGAAAACAAAACTAACTGTTTCCCTTGGGATCTGACATTAAGTGTATATTATATCTATAAAAGGTGACCCTTATCCTTTACCGAGCTTTTAAACGTAAACTCATCTTCCACACAAATTCTATTCTTTCTTTCCCATTAATGAATATTATGGTATTTTCTGCGAAGGCCTTTAGGTTTTAAGGTGCAACTTACCATATCAACAAGAGCAATGTAGACAAACAATCCACCAGCAAGAGCATAGATCCACGTGACAGCGGACGTTGTGTAACCTAGCAACAATCCAATGACAAGTCCCAAATAACAAGTGCATGCCGACAAAAAGTTGAAGGCCAATGCGGCTTTATATGACAAACCAGCATTCAGAAGAACTGCAAAGTCACCTGGGGAGCGTTTCAAAAACGTTTTGTAAAATCAAAAAAAAAATTACGAATGCAGCTCGCCTCTATCTATATCAGGACAAAAATTTCAGTTGTTTTGTAATAAGCATTGAAAGTGTAATTATATACCTTAACACTTTGTTGCTCGCAGTTCTTTTGATAACTTTTCTAAATTCCACTATTCACACTGAGTACCAGATAACTTTTCGTGCCGACACAGAAAGCTATCCAGTTTTAAGTGTGAACACCTATTCGCTATGTGACTCTCCACTTTTCTCACGAGATCGGCGCGGCGCAGCTTCGCTCCGTTACAGAAATCGCGCCCAATTCACTGTTTTTATTTGTGAAGCCCTATCCCGTATGGTTTTATTGCCGGCGCAAAATCTATCCGGTATAGTATGAACATAGCCTATCAAAGTTAGTACTTACCAAGTTCATGTGGCAGCTCTTCACAGAATATCGCAAGTGACGTACTGACACCGATATATCTTGAACTGGAAAATGAAGCACCAATTGCCAACCCATCGATAAAGTTGTGAAGAGCGTCACCAATAATGATCATCCATGCAACAGGAGCAATTTTCTTCTTCTCGTGTGATTTTTTGCTATTTTGCGAAGACGCCTGTGTTTTGTTTAAAAAACATTACAATTATTACAATTTAATTTACCATCATAAAATCATTTATTCCTCAATCTCCCAACAATTTGCGAACAAAGAGTAATTTGCCTTTCCTGGTAATTAATACAGTCGTATTTTCAACTGCCACTCTTTTCCCAAATTTTCGAATCTCTATCTTGATAACTTGAACCCAATGTAATTTTAAAAAAATAAATTTAGATTCTTATGTATTCTTTTCATAAGATGGAAACGATTTCCTGGTACATCACCAGTACTCAAATAAGACTTAGTACTTCCAAATATGCAAAAATTCGTGCACTTGTCTGTTTGATTTGCAAACAATGTAATTTGGAGTTGATACTACCGAAACAAGTACACCGGGAATTCAGAGATATGCCTGACAGTTGATTTTGTCGCCAAACGTTAACGAGTTGGGTCATGTGGCTTTGTTTTTCAAACCAAAAATGTGAACTCACGTGGTCACTTTCCTGAGCACTTGGGAGGCTAAAGATTGGCCAAGTTCTAAGTCAACCAAAATGGAGAAATTTTCGCTTGCGGATGAAAGTTGTTTCGGTTGCAGTCCTCTACCGCTATATAAACTCTGACCACTCTGATGAGCAAACAACAAAGTCAGCAATAAGAAAAGAATGTGACCACGTGTGAGTTCACCTTTTTGGTCTGACAAACAAATCCACATGACCTAAGTCGTTAACGTCTGGTACCAAACTCAACTGTAACGCGTATTTTTGAATTCGTGGTCTACCTATTTCGGTAGTACGAGGTAGTACGTTGCCTATTGTTTTGTCTTCTACAGAGCCGTACCTCAGTGTCTTCACGCAAAACACCCTTCACCACTCTCAAAAACTAGAATTTTTTAGATCTTTTAAAAGCGATCATACCACTTCTAATTACCTAGACTTAACGAGAGGAACAGCTGAGAGAGAAATTGGTAAAACTACTAATAAGTAACCACATGCTAATGATAGAACTTGGTAGATACAATCAAACTACTAGAGATAATAGGAATTGCCCTTTTTGTGGATCCAATCAAATAGAAGACAAAATTCACTTTCTTTTCAATTGTTCAAAATGCTCTTTGATTAGGAATAATTTTTACAATAAAGTTAAGATTCTGATTTCAAATATTACCCAGTTACCTGTGAACGTTTTGATCAATGAACTGATGAACGCATCTAATTACTATATTAATTTATAATTCATGAAAAATATTTCTGCTTGCTTTGACTTTCGCGACGAATTATTAACAAATTAGTTTAATTGGTCAGTGATGAAATTTTAGTTCTTATTCTTAAGACATAATTATAAATAGCTTTTGCAATACTGTAAGTTCTTGTATGGTCCTGCAAAATAAAGCTTGATGTTAATTGTTGTTGTCACGCAACGCGAAAGGCTGAGTAAAAAACTACAATAGCTATTGTCCACATATTAATGAATTGATGGTTGTTAAAAATAATCATTATATAAAAAGTATGTTAGTTGTTTGTTTGTCTAGGCATACCTCATTTGGAAAACCATTTGGCGTTGACCCATTTCCACAGATCTTCACATCTGGCAAGGAAGCGCCATGATTATGAAGGGCACTATGGTGATCACGGTTCTTTTTATACAGTTGCAGCTGAACATCAGCGATACCTGCTGCGGGTATGTCACCCGTGGACTTGTCCTTATTTGAAAAAAAAGGAATACAAATTACCGTAAACTGCCCCATATAAACTGGGAGCCTTGGAGCTTATAACCCTGGGTTTATTGATCTTCGTAAGGGGTTTAATAGGAGGGCATATAACCGGAATATAAAAGCGCTTCGAAACAAGCTATGGCAGTGTTTATCAAAATACGTCTTACATTTATTCGTTTTTGAGCTTCAAAACGCCATATTAAATCGAATTCATGTCAATACATATGATGGGCCTATATTTTTTTTTTTGGGGGGGGGGTGGGGGCCTTCTAGAGCGTTTTCACTCGAGTGGCCAGCGTCTATGCAAATTTATTGGAAAAAAGAAAGCGTTTACATGAGAAAAGATTTCAACTCCCAGATGTTTTTTTAGTACACCAACATAGCCGCCGTTTCATTGTTTTGGAACACCAAAATGGCCGCCATGACGTCGTGTGAAAACGCTCTATACGTGAGGGAGGTTATAAACAGCAGTTTACAGTATCTCAATAAGTAAAAACAATTGACAGGTTAGTATTGGTGCACTGCCAGGTCGACGCAGCAGCAAGAAAGAAAATGGCTTCTTTTTTAACAGTTTCCTAAGCATCTCTTTTATGTGTTATTTTGGAGTGACGCAGGGTCTTACCATTAGGAAGAACGGGCCTGCTAGACGGTCCCGTCCTAAATAGTATTGCATTTTTAATAAGTCCTACCAAACGACGAGTTTATTTTATTTCCGAATAGTATGTACAGAAGTAATCGGTTCTTGGCGAAAACTTTCAAAAAGCGTTTTCAGGTCTGGCCTGCATGTCCACAAATTAAAGAGGAGCAAGTAAATTGTGTTTGTTATTTTTCTCCGGAAGCTTCACAGTTAAGCGCGCCAAATTTATTTAGTATACTATACTTAAACAGTGAGTAGTGTTTTTCGCGCGCTCTGATTGTCTGCTTAAACTCGGGATATCCAGTGCTATTCACCTCCTGATCCTCCGAGCGAGCGGCGTCAAAATCGCGTAAGTTCATGTACGAGCAAAATGGCTTCCCGAGTTTGCTGCCGTAACAACCTTAACGATTTTTCACGAATAATCAAAAAAGCTGTTTCCAAAACACGAAGAAAGGTGACGAAATTCTGTTTGGAAGTTTTAACAGGTAAGGATTTGTCTGTTTGACTTGAATTTATCGATGAAACCGGTGAAAGAGTGCTTTGTCTACAAATGCAAATTAAGTCTTGCCTTACTTCATTTCTCAAGCAGACATTTTCATAAATAAGCTGAAAACTAAATCTAATAGTTATTTTTTTACAGAATGGTTTTAAATACAAACAGAAGAAATTTCCCCGCAAGAGCTAAACAAATTCAAACGTTTTATTTGTCGGGAAGAAAACGCGTCGACCGTTTGATCAATTCTGCGCCAAAATTTTGATCGTTGGTAGCAGTAAATGGGTCAAAAATCATCATTTTTGTGCTCAATTATCTCACTGTTTTCGCTAAAACAATTACCCGATGGTTGGGTGGATATTTATCTCTCGGCTCGCTAAATATCACTGAATATCCACCACTAGGCACCTCCACTTCAGTGAATAATTGTTATACATGTATATTAATTAGATAGTATTATTGATTCATAGCTATCAGAATATCGATCTTTAAGTGGTGTTGAAAATCTTACTGCAATGTCTTACAACAAGAGAGAATGAGGTACAGCTTACAATCTACTATCGTCTTTAATGCCTACGAAAAGTAGAGGTTCAACAAATTCGTGCAAGTGACAAATTGCTCATGAGATCACTTACCATTTCGTTTTTATCATGATTATCACATGTGGACTGCTCTTTAAACCTGACAATCATTCTCATGACATATTCCAAGAAAAAGAAGGAGTATATTCCACCGATGATCACAAGGCATTTCCACAAATATCCCAGTTCTCCATCATGAGCATGAAAACCAAATGCCTAACAGAAGGAGTCAGAGGAAGAAAAAATAACTTCAACAATAATTCGATCAAATCCTATTAACATTAAACACTTAATGACTGGTCTTTTTCCCGAGAAACTCAGCTTTGAGATTGTTATATACAGTCATGTAGTTGGAAATTTTGAAGCTGGAAATCCATTTAATCTCGCTATAACGGCAGTCGACGGTCAACATTCGCCGGAACAATGGACTGTTACCCTCTGACGTCATAGATTTTGTAATGTTGACCGCTAGGAGATTTTGGCGGGAAACAGTTTCATTGTTAGATGTCATGTAACAAAGTAACCAATGAGAGCGCGCGCTGTTGGGAAGAAATTTCCAGCGATATAACAATCACTCTTATGTATGTCATTATGCAGATGCCAAGATTGGTTTTTGGTATTCATGGAAATAGGTAATTTTGAAAAATAAGGGAATAGCTCTTCTGCTATGTGTAGTGTAGGAAATAACATTTTTTTTTTCAGGTAGATGTATTTACATTGTTGTTCCTACGCAGCGACAAAGAATACTATTGACCGACCATATACAGAGTGGGGGCAGCTGTACTGTCAACTGTACTGTAGTAGTCGGACTTCGTAAAGATGCGTAACTATCGTTGAAACAATAGCGTTAGCGAACAAACTTGGAAGTAGCCAGTTGACAAAATAATGAGAATTTTATTCATTAAGTGGAATAACATGACAGGAGTAGAAATCAGCATTTCGACAGTTTGATAATTTTCTTGGAAGTAAATAATGATGTTAGGGCAACAATCTTAACATGAAATGATGCATAATTTTATTGCAGATGTTCGAAAAGGGGGTGATTTCGTAAAATCGCTTGAGCAAGTTAATCTTGTAAACAATCTGCGTTCTTTCACGCACTAATTGTAAAAGAGGCCAAAGTCCAACATCTTCACGTGCAAATTGTGTGTATGAGCTATTTTTATAACCCTGCTTACTAGATTATTGTGTAATAACTCGAATTCCCTTACGTACCAACCACGAAAAGGGGCAAAGTCCAACACTTCCACGTGCCAGCTGTGTGACCGTGCGGGCGCGATCCATTTAATCAAAATTTCCGGAAATTTCGGTCCAAAACTCCATAGATCGGTTCGGTCCCACCGGAAAAGTTTCGAAAAAACTGGTGCACATTTTGAGGTGGACCACTTTTCCCGGTCGGACCGGTCTGAATGTTGGTTGAATGGATCGCGCCCTTCATCTCATGTAGATTGGCTGTTCACAGTAATAATTGTAACTTGAACGGATGAGGACCTGTTTAGTGTTGTAACCAATACCGTAAGTATAGGATCTTGTCTATTTTAAAAGAAGCAATAGCTTTTAAAACATGAAAATTTAAGTAGTCAAAGTTAGAGACTGTTGCATTGAGTGTAATCGCACGTGAAAACCTCGTGCATCATGAAGACGCAACCATCTACCACAAGGATAAAAATCGTGGTATTTCTTAACTATTCGGTCTTCGATGAGCGACGTTGTCTAAAGAAACTCCGAGGAAACCTTCGACTTTCCCTTCGAAGCAGCGTTTTGTGAGTTGATATTCATTGCACTTGAACAATTTGTTTAATTTGCACCAGATGTCTGAAGGAAAGATAGAGAAGAGGGAACATATAGCATGAGCACCGACTCAGCTGAGCGTTTCGAGTTTTCATTCATGTACAGCATACCCAATTTCGCACAAAAAAGGTAGATTCTTGGTACAGTTACACTGAAGCATTCAAAATAGCTCGTGCACGTTAAACGTGCGTATGTTTCAAGATCTGCATCTGCTAATATTTAGTCACAATTTTTATGTATAAGGCTGCAAATTCTTTTGAAGGTATTTCACGGGTACCTTATTACATGAAATTTTCGCGACGCTTTAATTTCGCGAATCTCGCCATACAAAAAAAAATCGCGAAATTTAAGTGACGCGAACAATAAGTGTCGCGAACGTAACATGGCGCGAAAATCAAGTGACTCACATTATGTCCATTATGTCCATAGAGTTTTTTACCACTGAAACGTTTACAAAATCACATTTTTTACTTTTCTGAGGAATTGTCAGTGTAAATGGGTGTTGTGGTCAATTGACTCAAGAACAATAATTCACGTACAAGCATGAAACGTTTTGTGGACATTGCGACTGCTTTGTTGTTACTGGTGACATTTATTCCTTTTGTTGCGTTTCTCTTAATTTTGACCTTATTGTACCTTTGATAAAGTCATTTTATTTACTTCAAAGACGTATTAAACGAAACTGCTTATGAAATGTTAATTGTTGTACTCAAAAACGAGAAATTAAAGTGATTCAAAATACGAAATTTTCGCAAAATCGCGAAATTTAAGTGTCGCGAAATATGCGCACATGAAAATCGCGACCTAAACATGTCGCGAAAATTACATGTAACAGGGTATTTCAAAACGTCTTGAAATTGCCAGGAGAAGTCCAGTTATTCAATTTGTCCTTTAAACAAAGTACCGGAAATTAATTGTTCATGAGGATACTGTTCCGGTCACGTAGTGAGGAAACTGAAGAGGAAGAATAAAAAGAGAAAGTGATGTTACCTAGAATGTGGTTGAATAGGATTTTCAGCTTTAATGATTTCAGATGTCAGTTTCTCAGTTTGTGGATTACAGCGTGGAGACAGGCGCCTTTGGAGATCTGAAACCTGGGAACGATCTTGTATTTCCCCCTATCCCCCTCCATCCCCACAAAAACACAACCAGCCTCGATGTGCCATAAATGGACCCAGCAGGTACACCTATTTTTTTCTTTTTTTTGATCAGGCTTGTTGTTTAACGAAACAATAGTCCCTTCCAGTGGAGAGAGACGCAAGAAACGTCTGCCAAAAATGGTAAAACATATCTTGAAAATAGAGTCTGGAAAAACATGGACTGCATTTCACCTTCTGAAAGGTTTGAAAGCCACATTTACCTGAATGATTGGGTAAAGCGCACCATAACCACAGGAGATTTACGAAGAGATTTGAAAAAAGAAAAGGTAGCAAAAATAATGTTTTCATTTATTTCATGGAACTTACATGAGGGATGAGATGAATGATTCCACTACCACTCAACACACCAACAGCAAGAGACACCATAAACAGCAGGAGAATCTTGTAAAATGATTTGTTCATAAACGGCACTATAAAAGCTCCCAGTAGAGATGCAGAGCTAATGATGGTCACAGACAAAAAACCAAATCCCCAAGCTAAAACAGGAAAAAAAAAGCATCAACAAAAGAAAGCAGTCACCAAAAGCAATTTAAGGATGTAATCAGGATTTGTTAGAAACAGAGTTGAGGTTTTAGCTTGATTAATGTTTAACCCAGTGAACGCTTGTATAAACATTTGAATGTCTTCACACTGTTCCTCTATTCCTGTGGTTTTGATGAGCAGAACTTGTAAGTTATAAAATGACTGAATGTGACCTATGTGAATTACTGAAAACTTTAAGCTCCGATTGTCATTACATTTATGTTAGACTAAGGATAAAAATGTAAATTATAATCATAATTATGATCTAGAAATAAATATAATAATAATAACAATAATTTCAGTAAGAATAATAAATGGATACTGACATTGCCGATAATAGTTACAGTTTTTTATTGACTTGATTATAGTGCGCGGGATGCATTGAGTTTGCTCACAAGTTACATTGGATATGGTCACAAGGAAAAAAGGTAGGAAAAAAGAAATTTTGGTCTCTTTTTTCTGACATTTATAGTAAAGAGAATGCCGGATAGTTTTACAGTGTCCTCACCTGAGTTGTGGATCAAATTGTTTTTATTGCTCTCCGCCAGTCTTCTCCGGCGGGTTATGGGTTCAGTGACAATTAAACTACACCAATCGCAGCAGAATGACACTGCTTTAAAAAGCAGTGCTGTCTATATCATAGCATTCTGCTGTGGTTGGTGTAGTTTAATTGTCATTTTTCTGGTGAGATGCTGCAGCAGTTTTAATTATTTCCCATAATTAACGAGCTCAAATACCTTAGCGAGTTATTTAAGGTACATGTAAGTGCTTACCTTTGGCTTTACTTTCACTTTCATCACCGCTGTCCTCCTTTCCACTTTCACATGATTTACTTTCAATTTGTTGTACTATTGCTGGGCATATCCTTTCAAAAGAAGTTTGGTTCAATCTGTTTGACTCAATGGAGAAGGAGTCAAACAGAACTTCGGCAGAGTAACACTGCAATAAAAATTAGATGAACAAATTATCCCGGCTGTATTTGTGGTAATTTCTAAAACCTCTTTGTTCAATTGCTAGTCTTCTTATTATAGCTTGTTACAGGGTTGATTCTGTTATAACAAAAGATTTTCAAGGGCAAAACTAAAAATAAAACGAGGTACAGGGGAAGTTTGCGTTGTTTTTAACTCAACATCTTCACAAAAGCAAATCCCCATAAGTTTGTTCAAAGCAACCACAATAGTAGCTGCACTGCTCGCAGTCGTCTTTCATTTGATCACGTCATATTTTCTTTCTATAATATATAGATTTAGCCAGGGCTAAAAGCGAAGCTCCCGTTAATAAATTCATAATTTAAATCAAACAATAAACTTGTAATCCACAGATCAGGGCACATTCATTTGACTTTTGGCAAAGGCTAAGTGATTTTAGAGAAAAATCAGAATTCGACCGTCCAAGAGTGAAACAAATTTTACATCAAGGTATTTTTACACCGAAAAATAGCAATCATGTTCGATCACTGTAGATCAGGCCTGGAAAACAAATAGACGTATTCGTGTATTGTATTTGCATTAGCTGTAGCATCATAATGTGGCATTCACCAGTCTCTCCAACATTGCTCCGTTAGAGAGACTATGGATAATTGGACAACCGCGAAATATAATTTTAAGAAACACATGCGCCACGATAGTCCTTGGTGGCAGCCAATTTACACGTTGCATTCCTCTGTCTAAAAGAAAGGCCAAAATAAAACTCAGGCCGGATTTTTTGTGTTCGACAAGTTTAGCTTACTAGTAAATCTTGGCGACGAATCTGGTGGCGTGTAAACCAGCCTTTTAAACATACTTTTTCGCATCACGTCTCAGGTAAACAGTACACAGACCTCAGACAGAATTTGTTCTTTTTGCCCTATTTAAACTTATAATTCTGCAGTTTTTCACAATTTTGCAAGAAAATTTGCACTCATTCAATATCCACGACGATCAAAGCACGCGCTTCCTTTGCACAACAAATTATAGCTTTGAATTATAAAACGTTTTCTGTTAGAAAAATCTGGTCCTATGTGATATGCGGGGTAATAATTATGGGCTTTTAATGAAAACGATAAAAAAAAAATTTCCAAAATCACTTTTCGGCCAGCCGGAAGGGGTTCTCACTTTTAACAGGCACCAAATTTGCAGTGCGATTAATAGAGTTACCATTTACGCTTCAACATGATAGAGAAATTGTTATGTTTAGGTTTTATTTCCCTTTATTCATTAAACTGTGTATGATTTTGTTGTGTAATCTTTAAAAGCGAGTGATATTTACGCGCGGCGTTTTGAGTATTCCTACATGCGATGTTTATGTTCGACTGGAAACAACCGGTGCAGCGATGAAAATTGCGAGAGGGACTACTAAAAATCAATAAAATAAGTTTAATTCGGTGAAACATGTACAGAGGCAATAATTTTCATTCACGAAGAGAAGTATTGAGAGTAAAGTGTCTCAGAAAATCATGAGTCAGGCAAGCATAAGCTTATTTAAGCGGGCTTCCCGGTGTTCGCTCTTTTTCAAGATGAACTCGAGGCAAGAAAATCGCTCAGAGCTTTCTGTTTACAGCCAAAATCATAACTAAATAATCTTCGGAACCTTTTCTTTGAATTTGCGGGTCAAAAAATGTCTAAAGGCTTTTTAAACCTGATACTATTGTAGCTAGATCATTGCTCGTGTTTTAACTTAAGCCGCATAAACCATACGCTCGACTTCTGGAAACCGAAAAAAAAAAATCAAAAACAATAATGGCTCAAGCTTACCAGTCGAGATGCTGCTTCTGAAGGTCATCAAGTGTTCCAGAATCGCTTGAGACTTTTCAACCTTCTTACGCCTCAAGCAAAGGCAAGTGAGTAAGCTCATTTTTGAAAACGATGCCATCCGAAATCGGATTTCCAATGACTTTGACAAGCGGTGCTTTTGTCAACAAAAAGCGCAATAAACAAACCAGCCACGAATTACAGAACAATCTTGATAGCAGCTATATTTCATTTTGTACACCAAGTAGAAAAAGACAGTTTAAAACATCACAAGATGACACAGAACTCTCTCAGCTCCAGCTATCAGTAAGCAAGTTTCCAGACGCTGCAAAAATTTTCCGCATAAACTCACCTGTCAAATTTTGACCAATCAGAACAGTAAAATTGGACGTAGAGCGTGATCAACGCGTGACAGTGAGAAAAGTCAAAAGCGATTGCCTTCCCTGCATGTAAATGTAAAAGCCGGTTGAATTTTCGTGTCCGAGATCAGTTCGAAATCAACATTTTAAAAATGCGGCTCATGAAACACGACTTATTTCATATGCATTTTAAAAAAATTGAACTTGAGCCTGCAATCATTTGAAAAGTAGCGACTTGTCAGCGAATACCTTCAAAATATTACTCGAACTCAGAGGGTCGATACCTGAGCCCGCGATACGTTCAGGCAATACTGGTCAGCGGAAACACTGTTTTGACAGCTGTCAATTAATCAAAACATGGATGTACAATATCAGGTTGCAGGCTCCCAAACTAGCTAGAAAGTGTGAGATTAAACATTGGTATGCCTGTGGTGCGGACGGACGGAGGGTCGGGTGGTCGGTGTACGGTCACGTGATTGCCGAATTTTCTAGGATTGATAGATTTTCTATAAAGCTATCGGGCTTCGAATTGAGCCCGTGATCAAATAAAATATCAGCGCAAAACTTTAAACACTACGTGACCTCAATAGATAGAAAAATGAGCCCGCGATCCACTCAGGTGATGATGGTCAGCGTATACTCTAGTTTGACAGCTGTCAATTAACCTTCATTAGAATGACGAATATTCGAATTAACAGACTACGAGTGTGAGTAGGACATTTCCGTCCGCCATGTAGTGGAAAATGCCAGATCGTGTACCTGAGCGAACCTGAGCCCTCGTTATTAGTTTTCTGATAGCGGTCTGCACATGTCCCATTTTGACAGCTGTTAATTTGGCCTGCCAATGTAACTTTAAACGACTGTCAGCCAACTGACAGCCTTGCTCGGCGTAGTTTCGTTTTTATGTTGAATTGGTAAGTGTGACATATTATATCAGCTTATATATAGGGGCAAAACGACTGGTCTTTTATCTGAGCCCGCGAGACGGTCATGTGATAATTGTCAGCGGATGTCTGATTTTGACAGCTGTCAATCTAATCGTACTCATACGGATGGCTTACATAACTAAGAGGCTAGTCAAGCTGTGCAAGATCTATTGTGACATTTGACATCGGCTTACATGAAATGTGTGTACGGACGGGCGTACGCTACGTCATAACCAAATTTTCTGGGATGGATGGTTTACCAAATTGTCTTACCCATGGTGCTCCGCTGCGCGCGCGGGAGCTCCGCTATTAGGCAGGCATTGTGTTTGTGAGCTCAAGAAACAAGAAAGAAAAGAGTTAAATGAGACCCAAGCGGATGGCCCATAAGGGATTTACAATATTTCCACTAAATATCTTCTACCCAATTTGATGTCTACCGTGTTCGAGGAGTGTCACTTATAAAATTCACTTATTTTGATTCTTGTCTTGTTTTCTTGCTTTGATTTTGATATTTTGTCTTTAATTAAAAAGAAAGATATTTTTTGTTTTAGTGTTTTATTTTGATTTTCCAGCTAATCTTTCCAAAATTTATCGCGTTTGATTTCTCAAATGGAGTTTTTGATTTTCAAAATGAGATAAATATGGATCTTAACAACGTGACAGCTTCACTAGTGGCTAGTCAGCAATACTCAAGGCCAGGACACTCAGACATATATCACGGCCGAACAAGACAGAGAGGGTGCTCTATCTGAGGAAGCTGCCTCAACAACCTTCAGAACAGTCGCTTAGACTGTTAAGCTAAACCAAAAGTATTCATTCCAACGGAGGAACTACAGGACATCGCGCTCCAGACCAAGAAAAGCATAGCGGACCGTACCCGAGGGGTGCACTCAAGGAAAGTTTGGGTAAAGTTTTGGCGCTGAGGCGTTCAGACCCAGACCCTGCTTAAGACAAGAGACCTTGTTTTAGGACCCTGATTCGTTTTGTTTCGCTGACAGAACTAAGTAATTTCTCAACCTAATTAACATCGTGGAGTTGGATTTTTTTGTTAAAAAAATGATGGTACCACAGACGTAGACAGCTTATATCCAACCTTCACATTCTTGTAAAGGATTCCGGTCCAAGACCCTGAAAACCATGCGCTGCTCAAGGGCACATAACCGTCAAGGCAAAATAAGAGAGTGCATGTCCCCCTTCCGGGAAATACCGAGAGAGCAAAGAAATCTCCATGCAATTTATAAACTACTCTCTCGAAAGAGAAAAAAAGTATCAGCTGGAAAGTCAAAATGGTACACTAAAACCAAGAATATTTTTCATTTTAATCAAGGACAATATATCAAAGTAAAAGAAAACAAGACAAGAATCAAAATAGCTGAATTTTGTAAGTGAAAGTCCTCCAACACGGTAGACATCAAATCGGCAAGATAATTATTTAGAAGATATTTTATTTTTGGTCTTTTTTTTCTTGTCTTCAGCAGCGGCTCTTTCAGCTATATTTCAGACAACAAGGCTAGTAAGTATTCGTATAAAGGCAACGGACTACTTTCTTAAAATCTTCAGAAGTCGTTAAGTAGCGTGAATTCGTCAATCTGACCAATCTCCGTTTTCCAGTTACAGATAAAACATATTTATTGATTCATTTACGATATTTTAGGTTTTTTCTGGTTTTGTTATTAAGGGTGTTCCGGGGGAGGTCCAGCCAGCTAGGGGGTTCTTCCGGAGTATTCCGGAATGTCCTGAGGGTGTTCCGGGGATGTCCCAGGGTGTTCCGAGCCTGTTCCTGGTTTTGCAGACACCCTCATACACACGTGCACAACTTTAGCAAAAAACTAATTTGCATTGAAAAGGACTGACTCTCGATTTCTTTCGGAAGAAATCTCCGAAATATGCTAATGCAACAGAAATGGTGAAGACAGTGTCTGTAGCGTCACTTTTTCATCATGTGGAACGCAGAAGTAAATCGCTATGCAATAGATTTTGCATTTATGTTTCCGTTCTGCAATACAAGTTATCATTCACCTTATTTTCATTAGTGCGAAGACTCCTCAATATGATCGGGAAGTAATTGAAGGGTCCTTTTGATTGCAAAATAGTTTTTTTGCTCAAGTTTGTGCACGTGAATATGAAACTTGAAAACAATGCCAGTGAATAATGAGGACGCTCACTTGAAAACACAAAACCTGAGGGAAAAATTTTGTGACATTTGAAGCCTCATTGCCTTCCATGTTTTCAATGTCCTTGAAACCTCAAGGTACATGTAAATTGAAGATTAATCTCGGGATTGTCAAGTTTTTTAAAAAAACTATTAAGCGATTTTTAAATTACCGTAAAATTTGTAGGCGTGAACTAAATTAGATACAAAATTGGTAAAGAAAGAAGCCGAACGTAGGCTAATTCTTCCTTCTCGTCATCGGCCGAAGCAATCCCCCTCTTTTTTGGTGCGCATTTTCAGATAGAATCAAACCACTATGAGATGAAACTGCATTTCCAGACCTCATCATTTTCTTTAGATATTAGTCAATTATGTCGATAGCATGTTTCTCCACTGTTTTTATGACCCTTAGATTTTTGTTTCAAAATATTTCTAAAACGCTCTCACCGAATTTGTTCAAACTTTGCCATCATTGATGCAACCAAGGGAGGTACAAGCTCCCTTAAGCGATTTCTGAAAAAACGTCTGGTGTCAAAAAATGCAAAGAAAAGTAAAAAACGCGATGGCGTCATTACGTTGCCATGGCAACTATGATGTCAATAAAACATGGATCATAAAAAAATTTCATCTTTATATAGTACAGCTGTGGTAACCTTTTACCGATGTTTTAATATCGATATGGGTATGCTGACGTAGTAAATGCTCAAAGTGGGGAAGTATACTCCCTAAAAAACTCAGTGGAACCACCTTTAACGTTGTGCTTCGAGTAACTTATTATCTTTTTACGAGCTGCTGATTGGCCCACAACCAACTTTCTCGAAATCTATTGTTATTTTCCTGTAATCAGAGCGGTGAACTTTGTCTAAGTGGCCCTGGTTACAGTATTCGCAATGTAAACGTTTTTATAACGGTTTTGTCTTTCACATACGCAGTTAACCGTTGAGGAAAGAAATCAAACGTCACTATCACCTAATTGATACCCTCATAGAAATGCACCTGCCTTGACAGGCGCTTTATGAGCCAAGCCAGGAGGGGTTATATTTCGCGCGAAGGGCGAGACGCCGACACAGAGTGTCAGGTGATCCTCGTCTCGCGCTTTGCGCGAAAGGCCCCATTCACCTCGCTTGGCTCGTAAAGCGCCTGCCATGCGGCTCGAAAAATCCTTCTTCGAAATAACTCTTTTATACCAGGCGGAGGTACAGATTTGTAAAAATAGATTCTCGAAACTAAAATAAATAGGTATTCCTAGTCAAAAACTGTCACGTATGATGGATTCAGACACATATTGAGTTGAGTCTACTAGGAAATTCGAAGTCTCAGCTGGTCTGTAATCTACGCGTCTTAACTCGTTCTACAAAACCGTAGAAGATGTTGTTTGTTTTAAGTGATAAACATTAAGCACAGTCTAAACAGCGAAATGATTACACTAGCCGAACTTTAAAAAAATACTTAACACAAGCTTTCATAGAAGCTTTTAGAGATTATAGCTTATCCCTTTTGATTCAAATATGAGTCAATGTAAAAACTTTCCTTTCATCAATGCGTAAAAAAGGATTTTTACAATTGAAAGTACTTTAATACCGTTCCATTGATTCACACACTGAAAAGTTATAAGATTTTCTCTATATGTAATTGACTGAGAACGGAAAGGGTTAAAGAAAAATTATAAAATGAGCTAGACCGCCCAAACAATCCCATATGGCTTTAGGGGTTAGGATGTGCGAAATATATAAGCTTAATAACGTTATCTTGGCCTGGTCTGGTGTTACGAAGAGCAGTAAACTTAAAAACCCTTATAAGCTTACTCTTGGCCTGTGAATGTAGACAACTTTCCAGGCACAGAAACCTTTTTGGGGGCTTAACGCAGACGTTACTTTTTTTGGCAGGGGTAAGCGTAAACCCGAAATAAATCTGCATTCGAAGGCCACTGAAAACTTGAGTCTCCATTTTTTTTTCAGTTAACGTCTCGCCTGGCTACCAAGCCCTCATATAACTCTCTTCTTTACTCTTTTGCGCCAAAAATGGCGTCGAAAAAGTTCGAAATGTTTAACAGCGTTTACCGAAAGCCAGAACTGGCGGGATGGTAAGTTAATTTTGAAAGTCAAACAGGCTTTTTGGGGGATCGAGCTTATGCTGAATACCACCATCCTTACCCCCCTCCCCCAGTACAATACAGTATGTTTATTAATTCTCCCAATAGGGTTTTCACAATCAATTTACATGTACAAGAAAAATAGGAAAAATATAAAAATGTGTAGAAAACTAATGATGTAATAGTGTTTACCCACTGTTGTGCATGTACTGATCTGACTGGGTATTTCTGATCAATAATAGATGCGTTTAGCGAATGGCTCATTAACTGGTCTGACCAACCAGCTGTACCTAATCGTTAATGTTCTTGGTTGGCTTACCTTATCCGATCCCATTTCTTCTTTGTCATGGTGTCCATGTGATGATTCACTTTCACTTTCATGATGACTTTCATGATGTCCGTGGCCTGATTCTGCAGCTTGCATGGATCCAACCTTAAGTTCTTTTAACAGAGCTTCAAACTGCTTCAAGTCCATTGATTTGTTTGTGCCATATTTTTTGAACAAGCTGTCAACAAAAGATTGTGCTCCCGGTCCATTTACGCTCCGAGCGTGGACATGCGAGAAAATACGACAATCTGTCGTGCTGATAAGGGTAATAAAGCAAAGAAGAGAGAAAACTTGCCAAGAGCTCCATGAATCCATTGTAAAGTAGTTTTACGACAAGGAGAAACCCTTTTGACGCCACTTCTGTGATGCAGTTGAGCACGTGTAGTTTTTTGAGCTCTGACAGATAACACGTCCTTCACCAGGCCTACAGGTGAAGAAAGCTTAAGTGTGAGGGCTGTTATTTAAACAAAGTTTCTATTTACAGGCGCATTAAAGAGAAATTGTGTCTTTTTAAGTCTCCTCTCAAGAACATGTCAAGAAAATTTACTTCTTTTGGTTGGTCTGTTGCAAATAAACTAAGACTAATGGTTTTGGCAGCCCCGTCTAAACTGCTAAAAGTACGTGACGTATGTTTAAACTAATAGGGATCAAAAGTGTTATGGATAGAAGGAGCACAAGGAATCAAGGGCTAGTTACTTTTGTTTCAATCTAGCGTACAATCTGTTTATTCCTAAGGTTAAATCCGTTTATCATGGCCTCTCAAGGTTTTTGTTTTTTGAACGTCTGCGAAGTATTTTAAAACTGCTTAAGCGTTTAGGTTTGTCTTGCGTTAAGAGTTTCTTTCAATAAAAGGTTGGTTTAAGACTCCAAGGTCCAGCCCATACCGGTAGTTTTAATTAGGTTGTTGTTTTCAAGTCAAGTGATATCGACTTCTTTTCGAAAATATGTAGTTTAGAAGTGGACACTTGGAGAAGACATATGACCATTTTCAAAGCTATATCATAAAGCACTGAAAATGGTCAGTTATGTAGTTTCGTGCTTAGGTCGGGTGTTTTGGGGGAAAACAAATTGTTTGGGTAGTGGCTAGTCTGACTTTCAATTTTTAATTTCTATTATTTCATTAGTTTTTTAATTGCTAGTCAAAAACACCCTCGGAAATGCGTTGGTGGAAGCGCGTACCTTTTTAGTGAAGAGGAAGTGCAATAAAAGATCTCTTGCTCGGCGGCTATACCAAACATGTCTAAATTGCAGGTCCACAGTTCAGCTATTTGGGTGGCCAAAATTTGGATGAGTTAGTTGAAGTTGAAGACGTTGTAGCAGACAACCATAGAAAAACAACGAAGCTCGGAGGGAGCGAGAGAGGGAGAGAGAAAGACCCCGAATACATTATGTCAAGTCAAGCATGCTGCTCGTAGTTCTTTTGGAAACGACATAGCAAAATTGTTGGCAGTAGTACTTCGGAGTGAGTTTAGACTATAACTTATTCATAGTCTTTAACCGTAGTGGTAGTTTTACCAATGTGAACTGTGGAACCGGTTGGAACCATGACGCAGGTTAATTAAACTTTGCTCTTCAGGAATTTGCCAGTAAAAACGGATCAAGTTCTAAAAGTACAACGCAACTATTTAAGGCATCTGCGATGATTGGTATACTGAGAACCTTTCCAGTTATAAGGCTATTTCGATGCTTTTTTATGTTAAGTCGGCGAGTTTCTAATCAAAGTTTGCAAGTCGGAACAAAACTAGGAGTGGTCTCATAATAACTGAAACAGGAGCTGCTGTTACTATGAAATCGCCGCCGAAATAATGGTTGCTCGTTTTCAACCAATCACGGTGTGTTGTCCTGGCTAAATCACGAAAAGCACGAATCACGAAAGCAAAGAAAGACGCAAGCACCGACGACCAAAACTTCAATCTTTCTCACCTAGAGTGCTATATTTGTGTTGCAAGAAGTCTTGTAACAGTGGCGATTATGGTGAGAATGAAACAGCTGTCACGACATAAATGATTTGGAATAGAAACCATTCATTACTTGGACTGCAAAACAGTCGGTTTTTTTTCTCAAAATCAGTAAAGAAATCGATGAAACGCGGCGTAAGAGTCGTATGCGCGCGAAGCGCGCAAGCCTCACACGCCCGTAGCGCGTGTGAGGCGAGCGAAAAAAAAAAAAAAAAAAAAAAAGCGTCTCTCCCCAGTTTCGCTCTCTGTTTTTAGCCTCGCTCCAGCCTTTTGTTTGACTGCTCGCGCATACTTGAATACGCAAAAATACGGACTGTTTTGCAGTTTATTCATTACTTGAATTCGGCATCTTTACACTGAAAAACAGTCGGTTTTTTTCTCAACATCAGCCAAGAAATCGGTGAAGCGTGGTGTAAGAGTCGTATGCTCCTTTTTCAGCCTCGTTCCAGACCTTCTGTTTGATTGCCTGCGCGTGCTCGAATACGTAAAAATACGGACTGTTTTGCAGTTTAGCCGTCTTGGGAGTGGCTGTCTTCTCGGAAATAGAATAGTACTGGTATAAATTGTCGCCAAATGGTACGAAAATTTTCTGGGATTTTAGTAAAATTTAGAAAACAAGTAATACCTTGAAAGGTACTACCTATTTTTTCAAAAACCTCCCTTGAGATAAACCGTTCTAATTGAATCCTCCCCGCAATTAGTGGGTTTTCCATATTTTTAAAGAGCACGTGATCAAGGCATGATGGAAAGTGGCGTGACATAAGACGGTGAGAACGCTGCCAGTTTTCACTTTCGTGAATTAACACAACAATGCAAAAATGGACCCTCAGGCTTAACAGCGAAGATTTTCGAAGTTATCACATAAAGAAATACATCTACTGGTAAAGAGAAATGATCTAGAAAACACAAGAAAATGCAACAAAAAATGAAAGGTCTGGTCCCCGAGAAAACGGTTATTTTTGTTTTCCCCTAATCCGACTTTCGAGTAGGGGAAGCATAGGTTCTCTCTGGAAAACAAGACTGTGGAAACAGGGGATAAAGACCTCCCGGCCCCCGTACCTTGAATTCCCAGCTCCCGCTCCTCTTTTCGTGTCTTTTTCTCTTAAGCCCTTTTTCAATTGCAAACTGTAATGAGCATCTAAAAGTAATTTCCCGTTATTCCTCCCACTTTCCACCCGTTTAGAACTCCCACCCGGCTTCCCACGCTTCCCGTCCCGGCCCATTTTCCCGGGTCCCAGCCCCCTGTCCTTCCACATGAAACTAACAGATTCCCTTGAGAACTCGACATTAACTGTAGAATGTTCTGTCAAGCTGTGTAATCCATACATAGTTGCCTTTCTTGGTTTCACTTGGTTGATGTGACTGGTATTTCTTTAGTAGAGTCTAAGTTATCATGAACACTTTTCCTTTCACATTAAAGAGTGTATTGTAATGAACTAGAAGTCATCCACTATGAAGTCATCCACTATGCTTTCGGACAAAAGCTTGTCCTAATTAATATAAAGTGCTCTTATTTTTAAGGTTCACAAAAATGCAGCAGTCATCCACTTCAGTATGTTAGCTCGAACTGCTTTTATTTTTAATTAGTGTAATTGAAATTTGTTTCTGGAATTTTAACATTAACAGCGTAACCTGTCATTATTTTGTGAATGAACTTGAAAAACAAAAATTTCAAAACAGTTCCAGAACTGATACAGTGCTGATTTCCAAAGACCGATTTTATAGTTAGTGGGGGGTGACTCATTAAACCCGATTTTCGTAATGAATGCCTTCATGAACCTTCTGAACACAAATGTTCTCAGAGAAATTGGCACCCCAGGATGACCAATGTCGTCTGTTAGTCATTTCACAGGACATTGTAGGTTTGTAATCTGTTGCTCAACACTTGCGGTGGTGGAAATGTGTCGAAGATAGAAGGGTTGGAAAATATGCAAATTTTCACTATTTATCACTATTGACCGTAGATTGAATCTAACTCGCGTCAAATTTGCATACTTAACCAGCTGTTTCTCAAACTTTTATTCTCATCCACTGCTTCCCTGAAATACCAAGAAATATGCACAGGGTTCCCCTTTAAATTTATTTTACTGACTGCCAAATGTTAACATCTGCCAATAGTAGGAATAGATGGAATAAAAAAGCCGTAACAGTTCATTACAACTTACTACTAATACCTATCGTCATGAGCGACGATTTTCAGACTCTACTAGATACAGATTACGGAAATTTATACAAGGAAATAAGACGCAAAATGTCCTGCATAAACGGCACCTTTCTTCTCAAATAAGACGCGACTTAGCTAATACGCGTCTTATCTAAGAACAGTGTAAAGGACTATGTTAAGATAAGACCCGTCTTAGCTAAGTCGTGTCTTATTAGAGACGAAATATGCCGTTTATACAGGATAGTTTGCGTCTTATTTCTTCGTATAAATGTCCCTATTGTTCCACTTAGGTATACCGTGTGCCCTCAACGTATAATGCTCATGCAAAAGTACCCATATTTCTAGCGTATGTTTTGTCGCCTGGCCGCCCCGTAAGGCTACGTAGCAACTAACTTACGACTCAGTGACTGCTTTCTGTTAGGAGTGACAAAGCTGGTTAAAACTTTGCCACCATGCAGACGTGTTTTCTAATGGTAAGCAACAGTGAACTTTGTTTCACTACACTAAAACTCGTAATGACTTAAAAGAGTAAAAATCTAATCTACATGACGAAAATCGACGGTCATTGAAACAATCTAACAGTCGAACAGTAGATGTTAAAATAAATGTAAAGATGATCGCAGCTACTTAAGGACGCAACCTTATGGAGTTGGGAAAAGAAAACCTGAAAAAATTCAGTCCTGCCGGGATTCACACTCACACTCACACAATTTATTAACAACTGAAATACATGAAGTCAGTTTGCCCCCGCAAATAGCAGGTGCTAGCCGAGGAGGGAACAAGAGGGCAGAGATACAGGAGTACAGCAGTCAGTGATTCTTGACATCTGTGATACCGGTAAAGCGCTCTAATCAATTATTAACTAAGTTAACAAACCAACTGGCAGCTGGTCATAAAGTTGGTTCGTAAGATAACCGGGAAAGATGAGGATGAAATGATGGATAAATGAAATTTCATTAAGTTAACTCATAGATCGACCGAGCGTCGTTAAACTCCCTCTCCCTCACGATCATAATGAACCGATTAACTCCAAGCATCAAAAATGCAATCTAATGCGCTTGAACAAAATCTTGCCAAATTGAAAAGCACTTAATCCACAAGTATCGAAAATACGCTTTCATAGTGGATCTCTCTATTAACAAAAATAAAAACAAACATAAACGTTTATTGCCTTGGACCCCTCTACAAGTATT